GTGTTGGCGGGAATGCTGGTAATCTCATTTGTGTCGAGAAACCTGCAGATAGAGAGTGAGCTATTTGTTTGTGATGCTACACAAAGATGCTTTGCTTACAGTTCTGACAGAATAACCATATCAGAGAATGCAAAGGCGGGAATGCTGGTGATCTTGTTCTGGTGCAGATATCTACAAACAGAGTCGCAAAACGAGTGGGCCGAGTGAGCCGCTTGTGCGTGATTCTTCTTGGATTGTACTTGCTTACAAGGAAGTCAGCGAGCTCAAACCCGCAAACGCGCCGGCGGCGATGTTGGTGATTTGGTTTTCGTACAGATGTCTACAAACAGAGTTGCAAGGAGTAAGCCATTTGCACGTCATTTGTATGTCTTGGCTTGCTTACAATATTCTCAGCGCAGTCAGGTTGGTGAATACGTCTGCGGAAAAGCTGGTGATCTTGTTGCCGTAAAGGTACCTACAGATACAGTTGCGACGAGTCAGCCGCCTGTTGCTGATTCTATGGTTCTCGACTTTGATTGCTTACATGAACTTGAGCGATGTCAGGCCGGTGAACGCCATGGCGGGAATGCTGGTGAGCTGAGTGCTGAAAAAATCTCTGCAAATGATGGAGTTGAGAATGAGCGAGCTTGTTCGAGCGCTTGATTCTTCATATCTCGCTTGCGTACAGTTGTGTCAGCGCGCTTAGGCCAGTGAATGAGGTTGCAGACATGTCGGTGATCGGGTTCCCGGACAGGGTGCTGCAGACACAAAACAAACACAAATGAGCCGAGTGTGGTGTCGAGGATTCTTGATGCCGTTGGTTGCATACATTTTTGTCAGCGCAGTCAGGCCTGCGAATGCAGAGGCGGGAATGCTGGTGATGGAGTTACTGCCCAGATGCCTATTTGAGCGGATGCCCAAAACGTGAGGGAGGACGGTGCTTTCATTGTTCAAACTCTTCACAACCACGTACAGGTCGGTCGTGTTGGCTGGGATTGCGGATGGAATGGCTGTGAGGGATCTGCCACTGCAATCGACGTTAGTTCCCGAGCAAATGCATGCGGCGCCATCGCCACATGCATTGGCTGCCTGTGCCACATGGACGTGACAAATCGCGCAGAGCAGCAAAAGCAGCCCAAAGGCAAACCCTTTTGGTGGCATCTCTGAGGATGTGGATCAGAGAACTTTACAGAGTAAGCTTGCAGCGATTTTCAACAGCATTTTCTCTCAATTCAACTTCACGGTGATGAGCGCCGCGTGTGCGTGCGATGGCTGGATGGCTTCAAGCAAAGCTGTGGGTATGCAAATCGTGCGAAGACGAAGCGCATGCTGTGACTCCATTCTCCTCCTTCTCCTCCTTCTCCTCCTTCTCCCCTCTTTCACGATCCTTCGATCGCTTGCACTATTGTCGTTGACAAGGTGCGCCCTCAACAGAGCAACGGAAACGACAGCGGTGCCTGACACACACATTCAGGATTCTGCGGTTGTGTTGTTGTTGTTTGTTTGTTGTTTGTTGTTTGTGTTTTTCGGTTTTTTCGTTTTTGTCTTTGTTGTTGCCATCGAATGTTTGCATTGGCCTTCACCAGTCGCAGGGGTGCCCCCGCCGCTGCTCCTTACGCTCCGTCGCTTCTTCTGCTTGACTTGATTCGTTTGCTGCCACGGGACGCATCGAAAAATCAGAGGAAAAAAAAAGGAGGAGGGGGGGGGTGGACAGGCAGGGAAGAAGCCGCTGGACATGGCTCAACACGGTCGTCGAGCCTGCTCCTTCCTGACTTGCGCAACCTCAGCAGAGACCACACCCCCTCCCCGAGCGAAAAGAGGTCACAAGAACAGCGGATTTCTGCTTGGGGTTTGAGGATGTGTGTTGGCTTACTCGGAGAAAATCAAGAAAGACAACGGTATGGGAAAAAGAACAAAAAGGAAAAAGAAAAGAAAAAAAAGAAAAAAAAAAAAAAAAAAAAAAACAAAGGACGTCAAAACAACGAGAGTGACCGCCACGATCGCGATCCAAAAGCAATGCGAACTCGGTTTGAAACAGTAGTAAGGTGGGGGTCCGACTGCTGGAGTTTTACTGCTGCTGCAAAATGAAGGGGAACACCCAACCACGTAAGCAGACAGCCGATGCAACACCAACAATGGGGCGCTGGGTCACCCGTCTCAAGAACACAACACGTTGCCATGTCGGACGTTTCGTATTCAGGTGTCAAGTACTGGATCCAAACGGCTTTGGCGTGTGGGTTGTGAACCGAAGGTCTAAATGCCCAAATGGCACTCGATATCGAGCGTTCGCGAACGCCCCGCCGTCAAGACGCAGATTGTAGAAAAGCTGTGCTGCTCGTTCACACAAAGTCGACCACGACCAGATCCACTCGATGGAAACTGTTTGTGTCAGAAAATTTGCAAGGAATGTTGTCATTCTGCTGCAGCAAAGGGGAATGACGTCGGTGGTTTGGGGAGGAAGGGCTTGAGTTTTCATCAAGTTGATCCAATGGCGCGAAAGCCTTGTTCTCAGCTGCCTGGCTCCATTCCAATGCATACATATCTTGCAGCAAAGACAAGGCTCAAATGCACCTCAAAACGGGTGCTGATCACGGGAATGCACAAAATTTGAAACCTCTTCTCAGCCAAACAGGATGTTGTTACACCCTGATTGAAGAGCACCCATTGGAGTAAGAAGCCCAAGTTTGGCCCTTGAGCACACAGGAAGGGCGATCAAGAAAAGGAAAGAATCTTGGTCCCAAGTTGAAGGCGGGAAACATCGCCGAGACACAACAAACTTTCGCCAAGCAGCTGATCGACCGCCAGCCCCTGACAACCTGCTTAGCCGCCATTGGAGAACTAGCAACTCACGCTTAAAGTTGAGCATGGCCTTGGAGAGGCGCACAAAGCAGCTGGGGATAGAAACGGAACGCTAGCGACAACCGATCGAACGCACAAACAGTTGCACAATGCTTCAAAGTCAAACTCAAAGCATGGACTTCCTCAGCGCTCGCCAGACCAGTGTCGAGACCACACAGTCCGAGTTCATGCTGCATGTGGGTTCCTGAAGTATGAGGCAGCGAAAGGTTCAAAGGGCGGAAGTCTCCACGAACACATTTCTCTCTCGGCTTCCAAAAACGAACAGGCCAGTCTTCTTTCACATGGCGTCCGGATTCAAGCGCACGGCAACGGAAGCAGGCTTCCAAGGACCAACTTCTCAGCGTGTTCATCGGGTAAGTGTTGGACTTGCTGAAGGCGTCAAGTCGTGTTCGTTTTCCGTAGAAATGGGCTTACTGTGTTGCGTTTTGTGTTCCTTTTGCTCAACAGGTTTTCAGGTAATGTGATTGCACTCGTCGTAATTGGTCTTGTTTGCCTTTCAGCTGAAGTTGCCTTCATTGCATGCGCATTTGACAGTGAGCTGCTGTCCGGATTGGTCGCATGTCTTGGTATCTCGGTCGATTTGACATCGATTTCAAACCTCCCCAACAAACCTGCCCAACGCGCTGCCCTGAGGGGAATTTTGAAAGATCTCGAAGCCGATGCACAGGTCACGGCAACTCAGAGGCAGAAAGATGACGCGGCAGCAGCACTCAAGGAACTGGAATTGGAGGTTTCGCCAGGACAGCCGAATTTCGTGATTGGTGACCAATTGCTTCAGACGCTCAAAACTGAGCTTGAACTCAAGGTTTCTTTGGATCAAGCCCAGCTGCGAGCCGCGGCTGCCCGGCTGCGAGCCGCAGCACTGCGTGGGCCGCTTTCAAGTGAACCGCCTTCAAGTAAGCCTTGTGCTTGGAAATTGTCATGTTGATGGCGATTAGTCCTTCTGACGTTTAGTTTGTCTGCTTGTTTTTCTTTCACTATCACTCAACAGTCACGGATCCTGATGAGGCTATCGCCACCTTAGCAGCAGCCGTTGATGAAGGACAGTTTGGCGTCGAACGTCAAGACAAACTAGTTTGGCCGCGCGTGTTTCAAGCCCGTCCTTTCGCGACCATGCAAATGTTCCGCTCCATCGCGCAATCGGTTTTTGGCTCCCCGACGAGCCGAAAGAACTTTCCGGTGCTCCTCATGCGCACCAGCAGCGGCTGCGGCAAAACCGCCTTTGCCAAACGCGCAATCTCTCAGGTCACGAACCTCATGCGTGCGCAACACAACCTTACCTTTGGGCCTGCTGATACTCGCCTGAAGCCGAATCAGAGTTTCGAGCTTATTAGACTCCTCGAAAGCTCCTTGCAAATTTTCATCGACTTCAATGGTGGTGATAGCTTGTACGAGACTCCCGCTTCCTGTCAGAAGTCCCTTCTTGCTGCTCGTCTGGCCGCTCATGGGTTGTGCCACACAAACTTAACCAATGCGAGCTGCACTTCAGTTTTCAGCGCATGCAGGTCTGGTCTTCGCACACCACAGGTTCTCGACGCAATTGTGGCACGCCATCGCCAGCAACACCCGCAGCTCGCACGAGTTTTGATCTTTGTTCACATTGACGCGGATCGCCGGATCGCGCAAGACATGTCCAGGGGTGCGGGGACCCTGCAGGAAGCAACTGATTTGCTTCAGCGTGCGTATCAAGAAATCGTTGCGTACAATGTCAACCAGAAGGAACAACAGGCCGTTGTGGTGTTACTTTTAACCGACACTGCTCTGAGTGGCATGACGTTCGACACGACGCAGCACGAATTCCATCCAATCAACCTTCATCCCTTTGACCTGGACACGTCCATGCTGCATCTTCAACGGCTGGGGGTTCACGAATCATCGTGCCGGGATTGGCAATTTCGCCGGTTGGTTCGAAAGCTTGGAGGTCTTCCTTCACTCGTAGGAAGGCTGGTGGACCATTACCCTGCATTGTGGCAAGCGATCGGCTCCAACCTTGGCATCGACACTTCCACGGCTGCTGTTGTTGTGAGCCAAGATATGACGAGCAAAGCTATCGCCCATGTTCCTTATGATGGCCTCGAGACCTTGGTCGAACTATCGTTCGCAAACCTCTCAGTCTCTGAAAAGACCCTGATTGGTCCCATCACAGTGGAACAGCTTGCGCATCGCGGCGTCCTTATCACGACCTATTCCTCACTCGATCGCGTCCACGTTCGCATGCCAGTTGTGATGCTGGAAGGTATTGCGCGCCACCACGCTCGCAATAACGATTCACGTTACAAGACAAAGGTGATGGCCGAATTCAATACGATCACTGGATGCGATGGCGATACCGCTTTCGAGGCCTTTGTTCTGTTTTCGGTCGCATGCCGACTGAACTTGCTTCGGTCTCCACCCGCTTGTGCATCAACTCTCCAGTCCGCGCCTGAGCCAGCTCAATCTGCCCTGCTGTATCAAGTTCTTGGTCTTTCCTCCCCGTCACTGCAAGGCAGCGCGCCTCGCAGTCTCCTGCTCATGAGGTTTGATCTGCAGAACCCTGTCGCAGGAGTCGCACAACGTTTCACCCTCTTGAAAGAGCAACATCCGTTCATCACAAACCAGCACGATGTCGACGATCGCCAAACTGTCCATACAATCCCGTCCTTTTCATCAGACGCCCCGCTTGAAGTTGACATGCTTGGTGCGGGTTCTTGCCACCCGGTGTTCCAGTGCGCAGGTTCAACGACCGGCGTGAATGGGCGTGTTGCTTTACGACGCAGCCAAGCTGGGGCAAAGCCCGTACTGCTGCTGTTCCAGATGCTGGAGGAGATCACGCCTTGGTTTGGCCCGTCCGCATCAGATCTCGCTGAGGGCGTCACTCGGACTCTGGCGGATCTGGACAGTTCGCCACTGGCAGCAGATTTTCATTTCATACTCGTGCTGGCAATCAGTGGCAACGAGTCCCAAGCTTGGGCCCATGCCGCTCGGAATGGAAATGATCGCGTTGTTGTGCTTGTTGGTCGCGACAGTGTTTGTCTGTGTCCGATGTTCTGAGCTCTGCAGCAGCTTGTGTGGCTCCTCTTCTTGTTGTTGTTGTTGTTGTTGTCGTCGTCTTGCTGTTGACGATGATGATGTTGTTGTTGTTGTTGTTGTTGTTGTTGTTGTTGTTGTTGTTGTTGTTGTTGTTGTTGTTGTTGTTGTTGTTGTTGTTGTTGTAAACAGCACTACAATTGAAAGTCGAATCATGTTGCATGAAAACTGTGGACGACACTCGCGAGCCCATAAAGTTTGTCAAACACGTCAAAAACCAAACCAAACACAACATGCATCACAAATCACTGCACACCTGGACTTTGATCAAATCCGACCGTCAAAGCCACCGCTAGAGTACTGGCCGGGCAGCGGATTGCCAGCCTTGCCAGTCAGACCACGCATCTTGACCCCAAACCAGGTCGGGTTGAAATCGCGCTCGTCGTTCAGCTCAAACTCGCGGGCACGCTCCTGCAAAAGAAACGCATCCATGATTAGAAATGCTGCGCTTTGTGCTACTTCTCCACCCAATAACGAGACTACTCAAAGACCGACAGCGCCTGGATGCAATAAGGAAACAAACAACAACAAAGCATCACAGCGATCCCATACCTTGAGCAATTTGATGCCATTCAACAGATCGTTTTTGGCAGCAGAGTAGGTGCGCATCAACGGCGTCGAGCAAGAAAGCGGGTTGAAATGCAGCAGCACGATATACTCACGCACGTGTTGCTCGTCCACCGGCACATTGAAACTGGCAAAAGAACAAAAACAAAAACGATCACGATCACCAGAATCGATAAATCTGAGATTCGCGTCACAACCCAGCCAACCAAACGAACTGGCCTTCGTTCCGGGATTTTTTTTCACCACAAAAGAGCAACATAGACGGTTCTCAACCGCTACATGGAGCTTGAGCGGGATGTGAACATACCGAGCAACGATCAGACGCGGGACTGATTCTGGCAATTCTTCAGCAATCTCCTCGGGAGTGACGCCGTTCAGCGACGAGCCAATGATGAACTCGTTCTTGTTCTTGTCAATGCTCACTAGCTCAGAGTGGAGTCACGAGAGCGTGAGCGTGAGGGCGTAAAGTGACGGTTGGTGCGTTGGACCAGATTGCCCAAAAAAGCCGCCCTTGGTTCAGCGCGGCGCGTCTGCGTTCGCTTACAGATCAGGGCGTCGCCGGGTGTGCCAGACGAGAGCAATGCGGTGATTGCATCAGAGACGGCGCTGGGGATTGCGACAGCCTGAACCGGATGGATGCATTTCAGTCAGCGAGCAAGATTGGCGCTCCAGATTGTTCGTTCGCAGCTTACCATTGAAATTGGTGATGGAGCAAAACACAAAGAATCTGAGACTGAGCAAAATCCACGAACGTACGGACACGGAGAAATACCCAACTCGACGGAAGGGCGAGCGCGCAATGATTGGCTGCAGAAGCGACGACTTGGTCTGAGGGGTTTAGCGCCGTATGAACGAAGTGCTCAGCGAGAATTGATGAGTTTGTCGATCTATTCTTCGGTTGAAAGTCAAAGGCAAGCAATTTGCTTCAAAACCTGGGAACAACTTTTGCTTCAGATTTCTCAGATGCAACTGTTTTTTGTATTTTTTATTTTATTGTTGTTTCAAACGGTTTCAAAAGTGAAACACTCTTTTTCATTTTTGTTTGGTTTCACTTTTAGTTTCCCCTTTCCCCCCCCCCCGTCTTTTTTTGTCCCTTCCCCACCCAACAAACACGTCCACAGCAATGCTGTCGTCGCAGACAACCTTCTTCCCGACTTCGTACGACTCGCCGGCGTCGCGCGGGGTGCTCGAGTCGCAGAACTTCACCCCCGATTCGAACGCCGCGAGTCCGACCGTTTCCCCCGCCGTTGCTCCCTCCGCAACATCAGCAGCAACGGCCGCAGCGACGCCCCACTCTGCCCGCATGCAGCAACCCCGCGGTCTGTCCTCGTTCGCACTCACTCCCATCCAGCAGCGTCAAAAGATGCAGGCTGCTCGCACGCTGGCAATGCATGCGCGGCTCAACGCGAATCTCAACGCTGCTGCTGCTGCTGCTGCTGCGGCTTCAAATTTGGCTGCCGCTCCGACCGAGTCGGCCGACGACGTTGCTTCATCCTCATTCAAGACTCTCTCGAATGATGATGCTGAATTTGCACACAGTGTCGGCAGCGACAATACTGAAAATGTCGGCGACAACAGTGACAAGGGCCAGCAGCGCCAGTCCTCTTCCGGCAGCAGCAAACCGTTCGTGTCGAATCCGGATCTGACCACGGAAACCACTGCGGGTGCATCTTCAAACATTGCTGATCTCACTACTTCTAGCATCATCAACAGCAGCAAGGACGCCAGTAGAATGAGCGCGTCGGCAGCCCAGGCGAGCGGCAACCTCGTGGAAGATCAGCTTGCGCAGCCATCCCAGTCCCAGTCCCAGCCCCAGTCCCAGCCCCAGACTCTGGCCCCATCGGCTGCACAGATTGCCCAGCTGGCGTTTGGCGGCGACGACACGAGCGCTGCGACGGGCGCTCGCACGACTGGCAGCAAGACGAGCATTGAGCCGTCAAACCGCATCCCAGCAGGAATCCCAACTGGCATCCCGACGCTGCACGGCGCGGTTGGTGGCGCTGCACCTGGGTTTGCGATGCCCAAGTTCATGTCGATGACTGCCACGCCGGCCGGTGGATTCGCCCCGAGTGCCAGCGCACTGATGGCTGCGGCTGCGAGCTCGGGTGGCATAACCGCATCGAGCGCCACAACTGGTGCTGGTGCTGGTGCGACGACGACGACGACAACGGCGACATCGGGCGTGGGCGCATTCTCTGGATTTGCAGTGGGCAATCTGGCGGAAGGCAACCGCATTGTGCGATTGGCGGATTTGATTGGCGGCGAATCCGGCGCAGATGCCAGCGCTCGCGCACCAAAGGCGTTCGAAGACGATGACAATGGATCCGTGCTGAGCGAGGCAACGTCAATGACGTCCGCGCTGACTCGCTCGACCGACTTTGATGCGCTGAACGAGAGCGGAGACTCGCGCGCTCACCAGCAACTCTTGCAACTGGCGGCTGCGAATGGCGCCTACGCCCACAGTCCCATGTCGCGCGCATCCATCGCCAGCACCAGCAGTGCACTTGCCAGCACGGCAATGAGTGCCTTGCTTGACTATCAGGATGGCATTGCTGAAGCAGAGGCGGAACAGCGACGCGAACGGCAAGAGCGCTCGCAGCGTCGTCGTGAGGAACGCGATCGCCTCTCCCGCATGGAGGTGGAGCACCAGCAACTGCAGGCCACGCACGCTGCACTGACCAAGCAGATGCAGGCGCAGCGGGACGAGCTTCAGGCGCAAGTCGACGCTCTGCAAGCCAAGCTGGTTCAGCAGCAACAGCAGCACGAGCAACAAGCGCGCGAAACCGACAGCGCCCAGTCGCATGCGCGCGACGAAGCAATCGAGCAGCTGATGGTGCAGCGAATTGCGGCGGAACATCGCGCGACTGCCGCCGACGCCGAGGCCGGCCGCCTTGCCGATGAGCTTGAGTACCAGACTGGGCTTGCCAAGGTAAAGCGCGTGAAAACATTCTGGGCGGTCGGGGTTTTTTTTTTGTAAAGAAATGTAGTTGTGATGACGAGTACTTAACAACAACCATGTGCTCGCTTCCTCATCACACAGATCAAGCAACAAGAAACGGACGCGTTGCGCGCAGAGTTGGAGGCGCTGAACGACGATTTCACTGCGACAACGGCCGCGAAAGATCGCATGAATCAACTTCTAACCTCGCAAGTGCGCGACACGACAGAGCGCATGATTGAGGCTGAGCTGGTAAGCACAAACCAAGGTGTTTTGTCGCACCGTGTTGGATTTTTTTGTTTTTGGTAGTTTCGTCGTTGTGCTGACCCCTGCTCGTGTCCCTTTTTTTGAAAACAGCACTACTTCCATTCACTTGCTCTGACGATGAAGCTGAATGCCATGAATTGCGATCAGCTCAAGATCAACGTCAGCGCCGACGATTTGTTCCTAATGGCGCGCGAAACCAACCTTCCGATGCGCTCGTGGGCTCGTTTCGTCTTTGAGACCCTTCGCGGACGAGAGTATGCTCGGTCACGCGCGCCTTCTACCGAGGCTTAAGTTTGTTTGTGCAATGTCTTGGAGGAGTGCCTCCTTTTGCTTTTTCCTGACTGATAATTTTCGTTCCCGGCCCCTTCCCCCCCCCAATGTTGAAAGAGACGAGCGTGTGTGTTGTTGAGAATTATTGAACGTGTGATGAGTGGAGAGTTGAATGTTACAAAATCATACACAATGACAGTTTGAAACGATGCGTTTTGATTTGATGCGTTTTGATTTTTTTTTTTTTTTTTTTTGTTTTGCGTTGTTTTGTTTTGTTTAAGCATGCCGCTGTGGGACGGTCGGATCGCCAAACCTCCGAACCGCATCGCGAAACAGCAGTGGCGCAATAACGGAAATGGTAAAGAAAAACGTGCCAGGAATGTACAATAACGTGAAGAAGGTCTCAAACGACACGGCGGGAATGAAGGCGAGGATGATGAACGCGGTGGTGACGGCGCATTTCGCAACGCAATACCCGACAATCTGGTTCCTGGAGTCAGACACATAGTTTAGCCAACGGAATATCAAAACGTCAGGCACTTGGTCAGGCTGAGCAGCGACGAACGCCTTGGCAAACACAACACGCTTCAAAAATCCAAGCGTTACCATTGTGCAGTGTGGATTTGATGCCAATTGGCCACCACCATGACAGGAATGAAAAAGAACAGAACGTCGGTGTAATGATCGGACGCCTCGAGTAGCTTGACAGTGAGCTCGGTCTGCGTCGTCCAATAACCGAACAAGGGATACCCGACTCGCGCGTCACTAAACGGCCACCAAATGGCAACTCCTGAATCCCACGCAAGAGGGGCAAAAAGTTAGGATGGCGACAGCCAAATGTACCGACACGAATCCACGCAAGGCGGCGAAACCAGGCTGACAATTGTACCTTTTAAATACATCATGTCGAGAACAGCGTGAGAAATCAGCCCCAACACGAGGCCTGTGCCGAATGCTTGAGGCTCAAATACGTGCCGACGAACGGGGTGGGTTCGAGCAATAAACCATAGCTTGTCCTTTTGAATATGGGCGCTGGAGGAGATCGAGAAAGTATAAGTGAGGTGCGATTCGAGCCCAGTAGAGCGAACGCATTTTGGTGTGCTTGCTTACCGGACGAGGTCTGCAAAGATGGTCATGATTGCAAAGCACAACAGCGCAAAGACGATCGAGTGCGTCACTGTTCGATGGTAGATGTCGGCGACTTCATAATTTCCGCTCAACGCAACCTGGCGAGAAATTCAGCAAAGCAGGTGGGCAGGCGGTAGTGAGTGACAAACCTCAGTTTCAAGTATTCGTAATGCAGATTGCAGCAAGAGATTTGTCCATCTGAGATTCCTGGGCCAGGCGAATTTTTCCCAACGTCTGAGCGTTTGACAGCTCCATTATGGTGCAAATTTCATCCCAATTCTGCATGAATGGTTCTCGGCCGGTTTTGCGATGCTCCCGTCATCATCATCATCATCATCATCATCATCGTCATCGTCATCGCCATCGTCATGAATGACGCCCGAGCGAGCTGGTGGGACTGAAGCACGAGGCGGAGTGAGTACCATGAGCACGGTGACGGGAATGTCGGCGTCTGGCAGAATCGCGCCGAGCACGCACCCGAGCCGCGCATCGCCCGCCGCCGCCCCGATGGACTTGTGGCGAGGGAACAGCAGGCACATGAGCAGGCCGGCGAGCAAATGGACTCCGGCCTGCATATTCGAGGTTGTGGGTTGTTTTTCAGTGCTTTTCAGCTGAGATTGGCGTTCTTGCTGAAAGCGCAAACAATGGAATACAGTATCAGAAAATAACAAAAATAACAACTGAGATCGATGAGCAGAAATCTGAGATCAATGGAAATTCTGACCGTTCAGGCCAGTGGGTTCAACCCGAAGACATCTCGATTCTTTGTGGGAGTCGACACTCAGAAAAAGCATCTAGACAAGCATTTGCAATCATCCTATCACAAGGCTTACGAAAAGCGAATTAAAAAGTCTTAAATAAAAGTAATCAAGAAGACAATGTCGCTCAGTTACCGACAGCAACTCAAGCAAATAAGGGAAAATATGGCACACATCGAGGCAATCCCTCATCTGATAGCCTTGTACAGGGAGAAGACAATGTGCATTTACAGGATTCGTAATGTCGACAGTAGAATCGAAAAGGAAGAGAGTAGACCCAAACCACCTCGACCTTCGTCCAATCTGAATATCATAACTAGAGAGGGTGCTTCTAATTCCGAACAAAACCTATTTCGCTGACGCTTCGATATCCGCCCCTTGTTTCAATAGTAATACATACTATATGGTTTAGTGATACTATGGTTAGACGGAGGGGTCGATCGCACGTGCCGGGTCGGCAGGACGGCGATCGTCAGTTTGGCTCGTTTTGCTGGACATGCATTACGCGTGTTCGGAATTAAAAGCATTTCGCTAGTAGACGCGCCCATACTCATCTGAGCGGCCCCTCGCCCTACTGGGCATGTGACATCAACCTAGACTCTCCGACTGGTAGCAAAGAGAGGGCATGGAACATCGCCGGGGTGGCTGCAGGCCCGTTGAACAACAAAATGGCCGGAACAGCCCGAAACTGCATCTCGAGCAGACGCGGTCCTAGCAGCCTCCTTTTGCGCGGAAAGTGATACATGCAACATGTTTGTTTATTCTATGAACAGGCGGGGGCGATGGTTGCACTGCAGGAGCAAAGTCAACGCGTTGACAAGTTCAGCAGTCGCGACGGCGCGTGCCCAGCCTGAATCGACGTTTCGAGCCCCGCTCGTTGTGAAATGCAATCGCATAGATCGTCTTCTTGATTGGGCATGATCGCGGGCTGGACGCACATGCAAAAATTTTCCACGATGGGTCGGGCTCGACTGAGCGCCCCGTCGCTGCCGCTCTGTGTGTCACTGCGCCGCACGTGAACGACTCTATGATCATCAGAGTCCCACATACTCCCATCTGTATCATTATCGGCGCCGGACATGGCGCAGGAGCTGTCCAGGGCTGCGGTGCTGTTCAGTGCGCTTTGCCTCCCACAGGACCAGCGCTCACTGTCTGCACCGACACTCGTAGAACAGCTCTGTCGCCCGCCTACTTTCCTCCATCAATAAAAGAAGACTGGTTTTACTATAATTTCAAGCAAGGGAGTGGATTAGAGGCTTCTGCATTGACTAGTGGCCCAAAAACACTCTTGTTCGGAATTAAAATCAGGGGCGTAATGGTGGCCCAGTCAAAAAATTCTGTTCGGAATTAGAGACGCCTCTCTACCAAGCTACAGTAGAAGCACCAAATGGCGCATTCTTCCAGGTACTCGTGCTCAAAATCCACAGCCGAGACAGAGCTCAGATTAACAAGCGTATTCAAAAGGCTGTCGCCGATATCAAGCGGGAATATCCTCGTGCTGTAAGGTTTAAGATTCTGACTGCAAAGCAAGTCGTCCGCTCAACGAGCATCGGGAATGCCGATAAACTTTACAATTGGCTTTTTATTCTCAGAGCGACGTCTTCAAGATACAATACAGATGCTGAGAACGCATTGCAACACACGAAAGCGAGGTTGGCAGAGGGTGAACGCTTGAAGATGGCTCAAGAAGCCAGAAACAAGGGACGGCCCTACGGTCTCGTGCAGTTCAACAGGGCAGCCACGGAGCGCTGAACGTGGCGCGAGTGAAGGGTGTACGTGTCGTTGGGATGGTAAGCGAGAATGTTGATGTTGGTGGCGAGGAGCTTTTTGGTGAGGTCTTTCCCCAGAGCGCGGTGCACGATGTCAATGTGCAGAGCGCCGTGAGTCAGTTCGCAGAGTGTCTTGTGAACGACAGAAGTTGCGTTGTGCATCTCGGAATAATCAATGACATCTTGAAGGGAGTCTGCCGTATCCACGCGAAACTCTTCAAAGATCTCGTCCACACTCTTGAACAGAAGGTCGTCTGCTAGATTGTTGAGCAGAATGAGACGCCCACCAGCAATCTCAGCGACCGCACGCTTGGCCAAATCCTCGTGGATGTCACGACGCACCAGATATGTGACAGCTTGTTGGTCGGTGAGATCACCCACTTCGACAATGCGAGCACGAGTCATTGCTGACGATGCCTTGAGCTCAGGCAGAGTCGAACCATCGCTGGTGACGAGAACAACATTGAGCAGCTGCTTGTCAGCAGCCGACTTGGCAAATTTTTGAATGACATGCAACAGTTCTGAACCCTGCTTGGCGATCTCGTCCACGGCATCGATGACGAGCGTGGCAACATGACCATGCTTGGCCTTGAACTGTGCGGCGACGTCCCGAAGACTGAGATCGAGTATCGCCCAGCTCTTGAACGGTTCTTCTGCCGATGTGACTTGCTCCATCTCCACACCACGGTCTTTGAAGTAGCCTGCCGTGAAGGTGAACCGGTTGAACGCGAACGCGAGAGACCCTGCCAGTCTTTTCGGCACATCAACGATTAGCTCGCTTTCGACGATGTAGTAGACAATGCCAGTGCTGTTGGCTCGGATGGCGTCGAGGACGGCGGTGGTCTTGCCGCAGCCTACTTCGCCAATGAAGACCGTGTAGTCCTTCAACAGCGCGGGGCGCAGCACCCCTTGAAGCATAGCAACGGCCTCTGGACGATCGATGTGGGACTTTCTGACGGGCGGGATGACGGAGCCGGCCTCGAAGCGTGCGAGCATGCGAGCTTGAACGATTTCGGGCGAGTGGGTCTTGGCGATCGTGTTCTTGTCGTCCAGCACGTGCTGAGCAACAAAAGCCGCCACAACCAAAACGATGAATGTGGTGGAGACCGCCTTGGCGACCGCGCCGCCGATGAAACCGAACACACGCCGAAAAGCTGGCTGCTGCTGAGCCAGGGCCGCAGCTGGAGCCGCAGCCGACATTTCGGGATAAAACAAGAAAAACAAAAGAAGAAGAAACTAAAAACTGCGCTGTCATCATCTTTCTCAGCTTTGGCAATCCATTGTCAACCCGTTATGAGTTGAATAAAATATCGTTCGATTTGTATCATTGTTCTTCCAAGACGTTCCTGAAGATGCTGCATTGTGCCGCTTTTCAAAGCGATCTGAGTGTTCCAACGAGACAGGTGGCTTTTTCCACCAGAGCCCATTGGTAATTTGATAATGAGCATTGGGGCAGTCAGGTCGATTGACTTGATATTTGTGTCTCTCTTTTCGCTATCAGCAAGGTCGAGGTGCTTGTGGGATTTGTTAATCTTGGCGGTCATTATTCGTTGGCAAGATACATTTAATACATTATTCGTTAAGGCGGTTTCAAAATTTCCAATTCCACTTGCGCCAAAACGTGAATATAAACGCGCCCGCCTGTGGGTGGGTGGCACTGAAAGGCACTGAAGGCACTGAAGGGGGAGGGAGTTGTGAAAAACAGTGCTACCTCGGATAAGAATATATTATAGAATAGGTAGCACTGTTTATTTGGGAGTTGTTACTTGAGCCCATAGGGCGAACATGTACAGTACTACTGTAGTAGATCTAGTACCCCCCCCCCTTGTTCAACTCCGAGTCTCACCTCAACTTTGCTTTTTGCGAAGCAAAACGAACTCGCCCACCCGTAAACCAGACGCTTTTGAACAACAAGATCTGAATTGCTCCATCTCGATCATCGCACTTGACTGAAGGAAGTCAATGTTAACGTTTTTGTTTTTGTTTATTATTTTCGATCAAGACAAGCCGCGGCACTTCACCACTTGATGAGAAGCTCCGAGACAAACTTTTCAACAGCGTGATACTTTGTACGGAGAATGTTGGCTCGACTGGCCTCATCAACATCGCGGAACCATTCGCTGTAAAACAGAAGAGAGACGCACCACCCATGAGCCACAACAGAACTCGATCAACAACAGAACATGCACGCAAACAATCAACCAACAAAACAACAAATACCTTTCTATTCGCTCGACACTTGCATCGACGCCGGGCTCGCGCGAAGGCTGTGACAGGTACGCCAACTCGACGCGGCTGAGAAAATCCTTGGCAGACTCTCCTTCGTCGGGCTTGATCTGTCCTCCACCGTTCAAACAACCTACCCCCCCCGCCAAACAAGAAAAAAAAAACAAGAATGTTGAGTCATAGAGAAATGCACTCCCTGGCACGGTCGACGAGATGCCACAACTGTTACCTGAGGGGCATGCCATAATCTCGACAAAATGGTACTGGCATTGGTTGCGTTTGATTTTTTGGACGAGGTTTTGAATGTTCTTGAAGCCATATGCCGCAGCAAAGCGCAGCAGCACTTGGCCGTCGCGCTCCAACGTGAGCTCCTTGAAATCCTTGTTTTTCACAATGCGGTAGGTCAGATTGGTTTGATCTCCTGCCGTGGACGAAGCAACCAGGGAGGCCTCTGCCACTTCCATCGGAACGGCATCCGCGCTGCTGCTAGAAGCCGTCGACGCATTCGAGGCAGCATGAATCGTGATACTTTCAATCCCAAACAGCTCGCGCGCGGCGTGGCGCATTGTGTGCTCCAGATATCCGCCCGAACCACCGCCGGCATGCGATACAATCCGCCCTTGCGCATCTACGGGTGTAAACTGCGCTTCGAGCGCGGACAGTGCTGGTATATCCCGCGGAGCGACGGTAAGAGGCTGGCGAAGGTCGACCGCTCGGTCTTCGAGCAGCTGCTCCAGTTCCCCGGTTGTTAGCACGCAGTCGACATCTCTGGTGCTGTACATTTCCGAGTAAAAGTCTTGGCGCGATGCCTCCAGCTTCTTGTCGTAGCACGGCATGATTGAGACGTGGTAAATCCGGTCGGGCAAGACTGGCTTGCCATCCGCCTGGACACGGAGGATTTTTGGCAGATAGTCCTTGACGATCGAGCCAGAGACTTGCTGTGGGCTCTTTGCAGCGCTAATGTATGGCAAGACAAACGTCCCGTGTGTCTTTTCGGCGTAGCAAACCCAGCCGGGGCAGGCGGATGTGAGCATTGGGAAAATGTCCGTGACTTGAACCTGCGCGCGCGGACGGAAGAGAACAATAGTGCGTCACAGTGTAGCAATGGCGGAATGAGCTTGTGACATGCACTTTTTGGAACGCCAACGAATACAATCAGAGCTGGCCCTTACCTTGGACGTTGACTGCGATTGCGCGGCGCGGTACCGATCAATAAACTCGCGACGCGTCTCAATCAGTGAAAACTCTCTCGAGAACGTCGTGTCGAGAACCAAGTGCGCGCCAAACGATCGCAGTGCAGCGACAATTCGCTGGTGCACTGTCTCGATGGACAGGTTGAACTTTGCAGCCAAGGCAGCGCGCGCTTGCGGCGACAACGAGACGACGACGAGCTTCTCGCCAGGAACCAGCGGAACCGGAACGAGCGTGCGAGCAGTCGCTGGGCCTGAGTGTGAGCTCGTGTCCATGGGTGACGTCGTCGTCGTCGTCGTCGTCGTCGTCGTCGTCGTTGTGGCTGTCGTTGCGGTTGTTGTCGGCGTCGGCGTCGGCGTCGGTGGGTCCATGTGAGCCTCGCGACACGCTGCGGTGTTTGCAGCGAGGACGCGGTCGAGCTCTTCGGTGCTCTGGGAAGTGATGAGCACGCTCTCTGCACTGGTGATGCATCCTGAGCACGCAAGGCAGTCGTTGAGCGTGATGGCGGCGCGCTTGAGCTTCGTCGCTGTCGGCGAGGCAGACGCGCTTGTAGCCGACGCAGTCAGCTGGACGTACGACCCGTCCGCCTCCACCCGGATTGTCCCAGGCTGCGTTCGAAACAAGACAAAAACACACACACAATAACAAACAGACAGCCAAGCCAAAGTGGTTGAGCGATGACTGCAAAACTCTGATAGTCTGAGAATTGCTCGCGTTTTGTTTTGTGTTTTGTTTTGTTACCGTTGCAGCGGCTTGGCTTGCTGGTAAGCGGTCGACGGGGACGGGTTTGATGCACTCGAGCGACGGAGTGATGAAATCGTCCAGATCCGTCAACTGGAGCGCGCCGGAAAACTGCTTGACTGCCATTCTGAACAAAGACGAAGAACGGACAAAGAAGACTGGTTTCACATCTCAGACCCTTTTTTGTCGTTGTTTTATTTTGTTTTGTTTTGTTTGTCAATGCTGACTTACCAGAGCATCCCCGTGGCCAACTTGCTCGACTAGGTTGCTCAATCCTTTGATTTTCATTTTGACGGATGCTTGCCGACGCTAGACGACTCAGACGCAAGCACTGCGCCACCGAACGCGCCCGCTCCAGTCGCCGTGCATTAAGCAGCATTTGGAAATCGGAGACCGCGCAAAACCCCAACCGACTGTTGGTGAAAGGCTCGTTTCCGACGTGATTTGTACATTATTATGTGGATTGTTTGAATTGATATCGTTTGAGTGCTGAATGAGTGTTGGGGATTCAGAGTATTGAGTGTAATAACAACCCAACATTCTTCCTCTCCTTCAACGTCGCAAGAGTACGACGGAATGGCGAGCAGTGAAAAAAAGCGAGGCTCAAACATGAAAAATCGCTCAACGTTCAAACCTTCACTCTTGACGAGTTCCGTTGCACACATCCTTTTCGCAAGCTTACATTGCATGCTTTTCAGTAGTTGTTCAGTTTGATGCTTTGGCCGATGTCGTACAAGAACGGGACAAAGTTTTCGGCTGTTCACAAAAAAAATCCAAAAGTCCCATTCATGCCCGATTCTCCTGCCATTTTTGCTTTTCGACAATGATCATGAATACTGAGCACGAATCTGGAAAGAACCGAGGAAAATAATGGGTTGCATTGGGATGGAATCGGTTTGAGGACAGTCTTCCAAAATGCTGTCGTATCAGAATATGAATCAAAGACAGCGTCAGTTGTATGACAAAGCCAAGAATGCGAGTGAACTGCTCGAGTAAGAGAAAAGCCCGAGTTGATTGGAGTACAGTTGTTGACAGCGCGAGTGTGTGTGTGCTGACGAGGATGGAGGGGAACAGTCTGAATGATTACCAGATTGGCGATGCTGGAGCTCAGGCGATTGCAGAGGCACTCAGAGTGAACACGACGCTGACTGAGATCCGGTAAGTCATCTCACTTGAATTGATGCATGTGAGTGAGTGATCTCAATCGAGGATGAAGCGCGCTTACCGATCAAGGAGACGGACAGCCTGCAACGGAATCATATTGGCGATGTTGGAGCGCAAGCGATCGCTGAGGCACTCAAAGTGAACTCAACGCTGACTACGCTCTAGTAAGGCATCTCACTCTTGCTGGTGCATGCGAGTGAGTGATTCAGTAGAGTGCTCACTGATGGAGGGGGATGTGGACAGTCTGAGTGGGAATCAGATTGGCGATGCTGGAGCGCAGGACATTGCCGAGGCACTCAAAGTGAACACGACCCTGGCTGTCTTCTTGTAAGTCATCTCGCCTTGACTAATACATGTGAGCGAGTGATACCAGCGGAAGGCATCAGGTGTGGCTCACTGATAGAGGCGATGGTCAGTCTGCGCCTCAATCAGATTGGCGATGCTGGAGCGCAGGACATCGCTGCGGCACTTGAAGTGAACAATGGAATAAAAAGTCTCAAGTAAGGCATCTCACTTTGACTGATGCTTGTGAGTGGGTAATTCAGAAGTGTGGCTCACTGATAGAGGCGATGGACAGTCTGCAGGAGAACCAGATTGCCGATGTTGGAGCGAACGCGATTGCTGAAGCACTCAAAGTGAACAAGACGCTGACTTGGCTTGAGTAAATATTGATCGCTTTAAGATGCTCTGAAAGTCGTGAGACCTCATGCTCCAAATCTGACGCTGTAATTGACAACAACAGTTTGTCCCAGAACTTCTTGACCAATACTGGAATTAATGCACTCAGGCAAACTGGCAATACCATTTGTCAATTCAAGTAAGATTTTTCAATCTTATCGAGTTCTTGCATGAAGCAACCGCTCACTTGTCTTGGTGAAAATGTAGTTCCTTTTTTGGTCGTCTCGACTCGCAACGTACCCCATCGCCTGCCGACTTGGCTAAGATTGCAGCTCGTGCAGCAAGCGCTCAGCTTCAACCTTCTGTCGATTTTGCAGCTGAAAATCGGCAATTGCGCTCCACGTTGGCTGCCAAAGATCAGGAGCTTGCTGCCAAAGATCAGGAGCTCGCTGCCAAACCTCAGGAGCTCGATGGAAAGGATCAGGGGCTCGCTGCCAAGGACCAGTAGCTGTCAGCTCTTGATGGAATTGACATTCTTGAGTGCAACCAAGTCGCCGGTGAATCCGCATCGAACTTTGATCAACCCATCCATGATGATTCTGCTGGAACTACGAACTGCAACCAAACCCGGCACTCGCCTGAAAACTGAGACGCGGAAGGCGGTTAAACCAGAAATTCATGGCGATGCTGGACTCTGCCCTCAAACCAACCGAAACCGATCAGCAGAGTGTCAGCGAGTTCGTCACTCTTGCACTCGAGTGTCTTGAAGCAGCTGCTGACGATCGCCCGTCCTTTGGTAGCATCCTTGTCTCGTTGGATCCGTGATGACAAGCGGAAGATGTTGTTTTGACGCTCCCAGTACTCTGTAGCGAGGCTGAGCATCTGTACGTGTCCTTGTTTTTCTGATACTTTCACTTTTCGTTCGTTCTGTTGCTTTGTGTCTTGTTCTTTTCCCTGCTTCTAGTAAACTTTTCAGTTCCTGTTCACGATATTCATCCAAACCCAAATCCTCCACTCTTTTTTTTGTCTTTATTTTTTTTTTTTTGTTTTTTATTCTTTCGTTCTTTCAATAGAGAGGCAACAATGGCAGACCACGGTACAGCAACGCACGACTTGGCACCGTTGAACAGCACTCATTCACTTTAGATTGAGTATATGCATTGTGTCACATCAAGGCGAGAGAGAGAAAGGGGGGTTGGGCGTGCTCGCATTGGTTCTGCCGGGCCTGTGCCTTGCCACCACTGTCCAACGTGAAGCACACAGAGCACAACGCGACAACCGATGCTTGAATGGGGCAACAACAGGTGCTGCAGGCCCGACCCTTCTTCGGGTGGGGGGGGGGATCGAATGCACTCACTGTTACGACTGCATTCGAAATCTAGATGCGAAAACATATTCAAAAAAAATTCAAAAAAAAAAAAACGGGGAAGAGTGTAAGACAGTGTGTGTGTGGTGGGGAATGGAACGTGTACCAGAAACAAGCGAGTAGGGATGAGCGTGCCATGCTGGTGGCTATGCTGTGCTGGGGGGGTGAGGTGCTGGTTGTGGTGGTGGTGGTGGAAGAATCCGTTCAAGATCGCCTTCGACCTCGAGATACATTCAGCCTGTTCACACCGCTCCCCTCTCCTCAGCAGGAAACTTACGTGCTCGGCTATGGAGCATTGCTTGTCGCTTGCTTGATGCTGCTTTCATCGCCGAATTGTCTGGGGTGGTGGTTGGCTGCGTTCAATGTGATGACGATGCAATGCCGCTCTTCCGAATTTGGAGCTGGTGTCATCGCTCGATCTTCATCTTGACTTGTGGATGCTAAATACCTTCTACATGAATGTTTTTTGTTGCGTTTTTTCTTATGACAGTCGCTGCAGAGTTGCTTCAGCTCGAGATCAGCTACGTCGGAGGCCTCAAGCACATGATAACGGTAAACACAAAAGCCCACTTCTGAGTTGTTGTTGTTTTTGCTCTGGATGTTGTTGTTGCGAAATCAACACACACCTATCATGCACACCAACTTGTCGCATCTTGCTTGCTTGACGTGTCCAGAAATTCTATGAACCACTGCAAAACGCGCTTCGAGCCGGAAATCCAATCCTGTCGGCGGACGACATGGACACGATCTTTGCTCGTGTCGAGCCCTTGTATAACTGCCATGCAGCGCAACTTGAAATGTTCATGACCGCGTTGAAACCGGCCATCGATGCATTGGCTCCGACCCGACCGCGCGCGGCCACACGCGATACTTCTCAATCGAGTACATCGCTTGCGACCACCTCCAGCTCATCCCTCAGCGCCACACGAGAGTCGTCAACGTCGCTCAACATTCCCACGTTTCCCAGCGCCGCGAGTAGCGACCCTTCTCCGAATGGCAGTGCATGCCCATCGCCATCTGGATCGACGCTCGATTTGTCCAGTTCGACCTTGGATGTCAGCAAAGGCGGTATGCTTCAGCCTGACGACGTTGCAAACATGTTTCTATCGCTGGTAAGGATCGGCGTTATCGTTTCTTTGTTGGCTGTTTTTTTCCCCCTATTTTTTTTTTTTTTTTTTTTTTTTTTTGTGGAAACAACGAACGCTCACCGACGTTGGCGACTTTGATAGTGGGGCAAGTCGGCAGAACGCTCGTTCTCGTCTTGTTACACCAAGTTTGTGAACAAGTACGGCGCAGCGTCGTTCACGCTGAAGCGATGCCTGCAAAAGAATGAAAAGTTCCGCGAAATGGTTGAGGTAAGCATGCCACCAAGCTTATCGCAGGTTTGAGCGTGTTGCCCGTGTCATGTCGTGATTCACCTTTGTGTGACCTTTCGTGTTTGCTTCAGAGCTCGTCCAACCGCTTCGAGAAACGGTACCTCCAGGACCTTCTCATCACGCCAATTCAGCAAACGCCAAGATATGTCATGGTGCTGCAAGTACGTCCCTTCTGACAGAACGTGTCGAGTTTTTTTGGTTGAGAATCTTCCCAAGGTCCTGTTTTGCTCGCAAAACAAAAAAAACTAACCTGCAGCTGTGAAATTAGCGTCTTTCGGAAAAGTTCATCAAAGCAGGGCATCCCCCAAACGACGGCTTGGAACAGTCGATCGTGCTCATCAAGGAGGTCGCCAAGTATATTGATGCCAAGAAGGGTGAGGCCGAGGCCATTGAGCAAGTCGCCGTTCTCGAGAAGCAGATTGGCAATATCTGGGTATGTCACGAACGCCTCTCCGCCCCTCCCCCTCTTGCTTGTTGCTTCTGTTCTGTTCGAAAATTGAGCTCATTTGGTTTCGTGATGACTTGATTGGACGATTTTAATTCCTTGTTGCAGCCCCAATTTGTGCAGCCAGATCGAATGTATCTCGGAACGTTTGACGTCATGGAAGAGTACTTGACGGACGAAGAGTCGAGCGGTAGCAGCTCGAACGGAAAGGCGCCGCCTCGCGCGGAGGAGCCCAAGACGTCGAAAGCAAGCTTGCGCAAAAAGTTGAACAGTACCATCGGCGGCAAAGTCGCTGCCGAATTTGTCACGGCTGCCGCATCCTCGCTCGGGTTAACCACGGGTGTGAATCGGCATCGCAGGCACTTGATTGTCTTGAACGATCTCATTCTCTGCGTCAAGGACTCGACATCCGTCTTCTCCAAAGACACCAAGTTTGAATGCACCTGGGCCTGTCCGCTGCATGTTTCTCGTGCCGAAGTGTTGACACAATGGCGTGGCAAGAACGTCTACGACAAGGGTATGCAATCCATTTGCCGTTGCCTTTTTGCAGCAAGTAATGTTGAATTCCGTTTCGCCTCTGATGGATTTTTCATTGCTTTTTTTGTTTTGTTTTGTTTTGTTTTTTTCAGAATTCAAGGAAATCCAAACACTTCACGATGAGCTCGCGGGCAAAGTCACGATTGAACGCCGCGTGGCTGAGGCCGCCAATCGCATGATATCAGCCATGCCTTCCGAAACAAAGAAGGAGTGGGCCAAACTGGAGGCTGCCGAAGCGACTGCAAAGCTTCAAGCGCTTGAAAAGGATCTAGCCAAGGCGAAGGACCGACTAGACTTGCTCCTGCCGTCGCATTGTGTTGGCCTTGAGTACGACGACGGAGCAGGAGTCAGGCGATATCGCACCTTCTTTTCGGAGGAGTCCATGCGAAAACAGTTCATGGACGTTGTTCTCCCTCTCAAAGAGCGAGCAGGTATGGCTGTTTTTGTGGTCGGTGATGCTGTTGGAGGTGTTTGTCGTTATCTTGCGACCGTACTGACTTCTGTGGTTCCGTTCTTGCCACACGCGCGCAGTCAAACGATGGGTCAAGCGCAAGAACTCCATCTCCAATCCCGCAGCCGCAGGTCTCCCAACGCATGATTTGGTTAGTTTGATACTTTTTCTGCCATGCGTTTGGCTGTTGTGCTTGTTGTGCATGAACTTGATCGCTCAAATGGTTTTTTTTTGTCTTCTGCCTCTCTAGGGCGAGTTTCCGTCCGTTACTGGTCGACTGCATCTCACTCTGGTCGAGGCCGAGAACTTGGCCGCAAAAGATGTGGGGGGCAAAAGCGACCCTTACTGCACTGTCAAGCTGGACGATCGGCTTCAGTTCAAGGTAATCAACGGAGGCGAGAAGCGGGGGTTAGAGTCATTCGCGGTGCTGACAATGATTGTTGTAATCCTTCAAACAGACCAAGCACATTAACAAAACGCTCGAGCCAGTTTGGAATGCCGATTTCATGTGCGATGTGAAAGACTCGTATATTATGGAACTCGATGTGTTTGACCACGACCGGTTTGGCAAGGATGAACTGTGCGGAAGTGTGGCGTTCCCCTTATCCCGGCTGCCACAGGGCGTCGAAAACGATGTTTGGCTTTCCTTGGCACCGAAAGGTCGCATTCATGTTGTGATCAAACTCGAGTAACGCTGCCGATGCGACGGTTTATCACCACCTGTTGTGGGGCTGTGTAATCGACTTGAGATTTCTATTTACGTCGTTTGTTGTAAAAAGCGCTGCTTCGTGTTTGTTACTCCTTTTTCTAATTATTTGTAATTTTAAAAATTCGGAGCTATGACAGCGTAAAACTCAATCGTTTTGCAGCTCATGTTTCGCGCTCTTCGAAAATTGCGCTGCTCTTGCTTGCTCACTGCCAGAACGCCGCCATGAACTGAGCAACACAGTCACCCATCGTCTCCAAGCGGTAGCCACCCTCCTGAATGACCAAAGTCGGCAGGTTCACAAGCTCTGCCCGGACGGTCTCACCCACAGCCTTGTACATTGGCGCCACGAGCTTGAAGGTGCCCATCGGGTCATTCTGAAAACCACCACGACGAGTGAACGACATGGAGAAGTTAGAAATACAAAAGAGAAAAAGCCAAAATCCCTCAAGTACCCCAAAAAAAATTGTCGCAATCGTCACTCTAATTTCGATCAATCTGTACCCGTTTTGGGGCGACATACCAGCTGCGTATCCACGCCCAAGCTCACGACGAGAATGGTGGGGCCGAAGGCGGAAATGGCCTTGACAGCCTTCTTCAGCGCCTCCTGATAGGGCACCTCCCCGCTGAACAGAGGAAGCGGCAGATTGAGAGCCTGATTGTGCTCTCCGACCTCCGAAGCGTAGCCAGAGTAGTACGGGAACTCTGCATCGGGGTCGCCGTGAATGGACACGTACTGAACCGCCGGATCATGGAAGAAAATGTCCTGGGTGCCGTTTCCATGGTGGTAGTCGATATCCAAGATGGAGATGCGAGCATGCCCGAGCGTTTTGAGGTGAGCGACCTGCAATGAGGAGCGAGAGTGCAAAGTGAGAGAGCACCATTCAAACGTCATAAACCAACAAATACACGCAACAACAAAATTCGAAAAAGCGACGTACAGCAATCGCAGCGTTGTTCAAATAGCAGTAGCCACCATAGTAATCGGCTCCGGCGTGATGGCCCGGAGGACGGCAGAGCGCGTAGACGGTCGGGGCAGCCTCGCCAGCAGTGCGCGCATTGTTCTGCTCGTTCAGCAGATCAGCGCCAGTCAGCGCGACATGAGCTCCGCAACGCACCGCAGCATCATACGTCGCCGGCTGTCGTTGGGGGATTTGTTTTTGTTGTGATGATGTGATGTTGTGATGTTGTTGTTTCCATCGCAATAAGTGAGTTGCAAATCACACAAACTCAGACAGCACAGTTTGGGAGCGAGACGATCGCCAATCGTCACTGCCATCATCATCTTCGTTGCATCCAACTCACCATGATGGGAGTGTAAGTGTCAAAGCAGTAGTGGCCTGCATGGAGGGACTTGCACTTGGGCAGCTGGTGCCGCGGGCCGAACGTAAAGACGTCGGGGATCAGGCCGTGCTCGACCGTCTTGTCGTCGTTGAAGCGCAGCTTGCGGAACTCGGCGTAGTTGGACCAGGCGACTTCGAGCCACTCGAGGTACGCTGCATCGTGCACGGCGAGCAGGTGCTCCTTGCCATAGTGCTCGCTGCGCGGCGCAACCAGAGCAAGGCGATCGCCGAACGTCGCCTTGAGGCTCGTCAGGATCTGATCAAGCAAACACGATGACATGCAATGACAGATGGATGAATAAGCGCACGTTGAACGAAAAGTGGGGGAAAACGGTTGACAGGTTGAGGTCGAATCCCGGTAGCTCAGAGCCAAACCCCTTCGAGCGTCTCGAGATGAGATTCAGCCATCGAGTTTGTGTGTTCTACCTTCTCAGTGCGGATGGGCTTTTCGACGTGCTTCTCCCAGCCGGTGGCAGCGTAGAACTCGACCGGCGGTGCGTGCTGAGCGTTTGTCTCGTCGTAAACGCAAACAAAGGACATTTTCGTTGGGTGATAAAGAAAAAAGGACTGAAACTGAAACTCAGAGAAGGAAATGGGGAAAAACAAAACGGGGAAAAATAAGGGATAAAATGATCACTCCTGCCGCAGTCCAGGAGGAGGGGGAATAGTGGATCGAGTGAAATTGAGATTAAGCCTAATGTACAATACGATCAAACATGCGGCGGGGTTGCTCTGGCTGGCTGGCTCAAGCCGAAGAGAGATTTCCATCCGACACGGCTCGATGCTCCTTTGGTGCATACTTGAGGAGCTCGGCAAGGCGCGTGCGCGGCGCAGGATGGTCGGAGAGCATGAAGAGTGTGCGGTGCGATTCAAGAATGGGGTCGGTCGCTTCGGCAAGGGCAGTCATGACCCGGATTCCACCCGCGGCATATCCCGCTTTTGCAGCATCGCGATCGGCGTTGAGCTCGAGCCGCCGTCCATACGCCATGGAAAGCATGTGCGCAAAAGGCGCGCTGGCGACACCAACGCCGAGGGCGAGTGGAAGGCGAACGCCATACGATCGACGCAGAGTCAGTGGGAGCAGCACAAGCATGCAAATCATCATCGAGTCAGACATCCAGCGCTTGAGCGTATCTAGACCAGAAAAAGCAAAAGCGGGATGCGTCAGAATTTTTCACTGTACAACTCGTTGCGATCAGCAGCGTTTCTGGTTGGTTAGGGAGGCCAACATACCCTCGCTGCGAATATGCGCCAGCTCGTGAGCAATCACAAACTGCTCCTGTGGTGCCAATGTCAACGGTGGGTACTGTTGCAGCTTGCTGGCGCTCTCGCGGAAATCGTTGTGAGGGACAACCAGCACGCGATCGCCCTTGCGGCTACCTGCAGGCACAACAGACTCGTACATGCGCGCAGCAATAGCCAAATCTTGCTCATGGGCATTGGCGTTGAATCGCTCCGGGAATGCGCGAGGCAGGACGAGCAGCGCACTTGTCCTCGGATTTAACCGAGTGCCTGTTTTTGCAGCGAGACAAGAGGGAAATTCCACAAATGTCAGAAAAAGCAGCATTGATCAATAGTATGTGTGTTTCATTCGACCAGCGGCGACGGAAGGAGGTGCTCGTTGTGTTGATCTCAACCAACTCAGTTTGTTTGTGAAGCGTTGTACCTGAGCTCGCTGGCATGGAAGGCTTGTTTGCGACGACAACCTTGATGCGATCCATGTCCATGCCCATTGCAGTTCCGATTCGGTGGATTTGCGCGAGGTATGCTGGATGGAGTGGAACATCGTTGGCGACTCTGAGCAAACGAGACGAATTTGTTTTGTGAGCTTCTTTACTCTCTTTGCCAGCGATTACGATTTTCAGCAATGTTCGTAACAAACGATGCCCATGTTTGCATGTTATTGCGATAAAGTAGCACGCGAGTATGGCGCTGACGATACAGTAGCAAAGCAAAGCCATACTCTAACGCCACTCCCCAAGCCCCATCCTAACCCTCTCTCACCCCGGACTCCTCCTCCTCCTCCACCCAACCACACTCACTGGGCAGCGAGCGCTTGCTCGACTTGACGCTCGAGATACGGCGCTCCGAAGAACGCAGTGCCGCCAATGCACGCGCCAAGCACGGTGGCGCGCATGACAAACTGCGGCAATGGTCCTGCAGCCATTGTGTGTGTTTCAAGCAAAGTAGTGATGGTGAAAACGACTGAGCTCTGAGCCATTTTTCGGTTGGAGTAAATCTCAGTCCGGCGTATGTGTGTGTGTGTGTGTGTGCTTTGCAATCTTACTTTTGTGTCAGTCTTCATTTCTGAGAACGTTTGAACAAAACAAACCAGAACATGTCTGCGACTGCGACTGGTGCAACGACGACGACCACGCCAGACACGTCCGATGCGCCGTACTTCAAGTCGTATGCGTCCATCCACATCCACGAGGACATGATCCGTGACGAAGCGCGGTAAACGAGCAAAAGCATGAGGCTTGGGGGAAAGGGAGGGGATGTACTTGTCGTTTCCACAGGATTGAACTGCTGCTGGCACATGGAAGCCCCCGCCGTTCAACTTCTCAACTGACTCGACTTTTGCCTTGTTGATGGTGATGACAAAAATGCTGCAAGAACGGCAACGTACCGCCGAGCGATCTTTGCGCTGGGCGACCGCATCCGAGGCAAGGCTGTGTGCGACGTGGGTGCCGGCACTGGCATTCTGAGCGTCTTTTGCGCACAGGCAGGCGCACGGAAAGGTAAAATAAAGAACAAAAAGCAAAGGCAATGATTCAATGTCGACGTGTAGACATTGCTGATTGACTCGGGGATTCGGGGATGGACAACTTTGTACTCACATTTTGGGGGGACGCTCGTGCGCTCAGTTTACGCGATCGAAGCAAGCGACATGGCCAAGCAAGCGCGGCTGATTGTCATGGAAAACAACGTGCAGGACACTGTTCAAGTCATTCATGGACGGGTCGAGGACGTTGATCTGCCGGAAAAGGTCGATGTTATTGTGAGCGAATGGATGGGATACTTTTTGTTTTACGAGTCCATGTTCGAGTCAGTCTTGCTGGCTCGCGATCGCTGGCTGAACAAGGACACCGGGCTCATGCTGCCGAGCGCCGCGACGCTCTACATGTGCCCGGTGCACGAGCCGTACCTGGCTGAAGAGAAAGTTGCCTTCTGGAGCACATTCCCGAAGGAACGTTACGGCATCTCGATGGCTTCACTCGGCACTTTTGCCAAGCAGTGTCTGCACGAAGAGGTGGCCATCGACCCCATCGAACCCGAGCAATGCCTTGCCTGGCCTGTTCAAGCGGTCAGCATTGACTGCAACACCTTGACACTCGCCGAGCTGCGCAGCATCTCCGGCACCTTTGCCTTCCGTGCCATCGTCTCCAACGAGATGCATGCCATCGCCGCGTGGTTTGACGTCGAGTTTCCATGCTTTTCCGATGAAACGGACGGACAAGCTGTCGCGCAACCAGAGTCGAGCGATCGCGAGACGGCACAGACAACCGCTCGCAAGCGCGTCCGACTCGGTAGGTGCTGCCATGAATTCGAGGGGCTGGATACCAGATATCAAGATGTGTATGCTCACAGTTTTTGTCTCTTCTTTGGGAAATGCTCTTTTTTTTTTTTTTTTTTTTTTTTTTTTTTTTTTTTTTTTTTTTTTTGGACTCACCGCAGAGCAAACCGAGCAAGGCACAAAGGAGCCCATCGTGCTCTCAACGTCACCGGACGCTCCACCGACGCACTGGCGACAAACTCTATTCCGGCTACTCGACCCCGTGCCTATTCAACAGGATGACATCATTGCCGGGAGCGTACGAATCTTGCCAGACGAGCAGTACAAGCGCTTCCTTGGGGTGCAGCTGTCACTCAAACACAAGGGCAACAGCATTCTCGAGAACAAACACTTCCGCTTGACGGACGGGTCGCTGGCCCAATGATGCACTGAAGCGAGAAAATAAAAAAACCAGTGTGTATTTGGTGGCCATAAACTCGCAACTCATATGACTGATTCATGCAACCCGTCCGCTGCTTTATTGCGACAAGGTTTGGGAAAGCCCGCGCTCACGAAGCCGTTGGAACGCCCGTGCCTTCTTTGCGTTGATCTCTTCTTGTGAACAAATGCGCCTGGGCAGCGCAGAGGAAGCCGAGCTGCTAGAAGTCGCGTTGGTTGATCGTGAGCTCGGCGGACGGGTGCTTGCTCGTTGCGGTGCGTTGCTGGCCGTCCGCGTGGTTGTGCAAGTGGATGAGGCACTCGGATTGCGCGCGTGAGCGAAAGCAGATGTCGGCGGCTTGTGCGCGGTCGCCGCGGGCGCAGCTGAAGAAGCAAACACACCCGTTGAGCTCGCGGATTTTACGGGAAGATACACAGCAGCTGCCGCTCGTGGAGGCATCGATTGCGACATAATTTCCACCTGGTCGATTGCCAAGGCCAGTTCCGGCGTCAGCTGGAACCCGTCGTCATTCTCTTCATCGCCAAACGCCTGATTGTCGGCGGCGTTTGGACTGGTGCTGTCATCAGAAAGCATGTCGTCCGTTTCGAGCTCGGCGAGCTGCTGCTGCGAAAACTCAAAGTCGCAGCCGGAATCCATCAGCATGGCAGAGCTCGCTTCGGAAAGGCTGGGCTGAGGAGTTTCCACCACGGACGACGATGATGATGCGGGGATCACTACCAAAGTCGCGCGCGATCCTCCCGATGTGTGCTGCTGCTGCGATGACTGTATTAACTGCTTGACGCTCATGACCAAGTCGGAATTGACCGGAAGCACAGCACGAGCTCGAGATGACGACTTGATGCCGGTTCTGCCACACCATCACGCACCCAACAACATAGTTTCATGCATGAGACGGATGGCACTTCCACGAAAAAAAAAAAAAAAAAAAAAAAAAAAAGTCATTGTTTACTTACGATGTACGAGCCCGGCGCAGTGATGGACTCGGAACTAAGGCCGCAGCTGCCGCAAGGGAAGCCGCTCGGCGAGGAGTCCTGTTGGCGCGAGGAGAAACCACTGCTGCGGCTGTCGTGGCTGGTGGTCTCGCGGACGAGGCGCCATCCGCAGGCTCGGCTGAAGGAAGAAGTGGTGCAGACCAAAGCTGCAATAGCGATCCTTCCTCGGAACAGCTGTCGGGCAGCGACGCCGAGAAGGAAAATGCAGAGGGCGACTCGGTAAGATCTGGCATTTTGTTGATTCTTGTCGAGCGTGGCGTGTCGAGACTGCCGCCGCGAATGGCAGGGGGTGACAATCCATGAATAGCAGATGTAGACAGGGACGAAGAGGCACCGTGAAGCAGGGACATCATGGTTTCCAATTCGCTCGAACGGACGGCGGGGAGCGACGTGTCCGTTTGTAGCCTGGACGAGGATCGCTGAGCTGGCGTCCGTGGCGACATGGGTGAAGACGACGATTTGGATGCCCGACTGGCATTTGGCGTTGCTGGACATGCGGCTGGCTGCTGTTGGATTGCTTGGCGAGATTGCTTGACCGGGGTCGTGCGCCGCTCCCGCTCCTTTGACGGTCGAACAGTCAGGTCGGCGGCAGACGTTGGTTGGCAATCGCCACTCGCAAAAGAGGTAACGGTGGAGAGTCGCTCCAAAGCCGAGGCTGTGTAGACTCCTCCGACTCGAGGTGCCGTCGCAAAAGAGCTCTGCCACTCCACGACTCCGTTACCATCCTCGTCGTCGTCGTCGTCATCCAGATCCATGCCACTTCCTCCAGTCGCGTCGATTCGCCTGCGTTTGGAGAACGGGAGGTCTCGCGTGCTCCTGGCACGCTGCAAGAGGCGAGGCTGGATTTTGGGCTTGAATACCTCCAGTGATTCGGCGCGGGTGCTCAAGGACTCTGGTTGGTCTAGAGCCAATAGGGCGCGATCTCTCAACTGCTGTTGCGCTGTCACAAACAGCGGAGACCGTTCGGAAGGAGCGTTTGCCACAACCAGATTCGGTGCTGGAGCCGCCGCTGCGAGCACTGAACGAACGTCCGCTGCCTGCTGCTCACGGGTTGGTGCATCGAGCACAATCAGATCCGGCAAGTGCTTGGTGCTCCTGCTATCACTGCTACTTTCCAAAGCTGCACCCGAAGGCGGAGCGACGCTCGGATTGATGGGCAACAGTTGGCGCTTCGTTTGAGGCTTGGAAAACGACGAATCGTGCAATACCGAAGATGCAGCAATTGCGACGCTGTTTTGCACACTTGATTCGACTGCTGCCTGTCGGCGTGCAGCGGGTGACTTGCTCGACAATGCAAGGAAGGACGTCTTGCTCCCAGCGGCGTCGATGACGGGACCCGCCGAGAACGACAGCAGAGGATTTCCACCTCTCCGCGGCGATTCGTGAGGGAAGCCCAGCGTTGCCACTTCGTCATTCTGCGGCTCGGCGGCAGCTGGTCGCGCTGTGCTGGTCGTGGCGGAGGACTGAACAAAGTAGTGCGCAATGGATGTTCCAGCAGGAAGCGCAGCAGCGGCTGCCCCTTTGCCTGCACCGAGCGGTTTCCCAAAAGAAAGAAAGCACAGCAGTAAGCGACATGTTGGGGTATCACAGACGTGGGGGTGGGGGCACCAGAGAACGAAAGCGGCCAAGAAAAAAAAAATGGCGCAGGCAAGAGCAAGCCATTGAAGCGAGAGGGAGCGAGAGAGCGGGAGAGCGGACGCCCATTCAACCAAGTGCCATCACACACGCATAGACGAATACTCTGCCTCTAGCGTGGCTGCGACTGACGAGCGACGGCTGAACAGCTAGCAAACACAACGCAGCAAAGTGGCGCGAAATGGCTCAAAAATGTGAAACCGTTTCACTCAAAACGCATTCGCGCGGCTGCTGCTGCTGCTGCTGCTGCTGCTGCTTTGGCTGGCTCGCGATGATGATGATGCGCTACAGTGTGGAGGTGAGGATTGGGTGGTTTGATGGGGGGGGGTTAATGGCATGGAAGCGGAGGATGGCCGTACCGAGAGAGCGGCGCCGTGTGCTCATTGTTCAAAGAAAACCAAAAAACAAAAAAAACGAATGGGAACAGCATAGGAAACAAAACCGTTCAAGCTGAAAAGGTCTCGAAGCAAGATGGAGCAAGGAAAGACCAACAACCACTGAAACAAGATGGAAACTGAATGGAAGGGGGTTTTGTATTGATGTGGGTGCACTTGGAACAAATGCACTCAACATGCTTCTTTCAACTCAACAATGTTTTCAAATCAACAACGGGCATACACAAGGCCTTTTTTATCAACGGGAGCAGCGGAGGGAAAGGGGAGTGGGGTAGAGCGAGATGGGGAAGTGACAAGAAGGGAGGGGGAAAAGAGTTGAAAAAACCAACAACACATCACCACGAGCACAAGCACGAGCGATGTCAGTTTAGAACTCGTCGCCGGCAGCGCCAGCCTCAGCCTCGTTGGAGTCGACGCCAACTTCCTCGTAGTCCTTCTCGAGGGCGGCAAGATCCTCGCGAGCCTCAGCAAACTCGCCTTCCTCCATGCCCTCACCGACGTACCAGTGGACGAAGGCGCGCTTGGCGTACATGAGATCGAACTTGTAGTCAAGACGAGCCCAGGCCTCGGCGATGGCGGTGGTGTTGGAGAGCATGCAGACAGCGCGCTGGACCTTGGCGAGGTCGCCGTTGGGGACGGTCTGGGGCGAGCGCGAGTTGATGCCGACCTTGAAGCCGGTGGGGCACCAGTCGACAAACTGGATGGTGCGCTTGGTCTTGATGGAGGCGATGGCAGCCGAGACGTCCTTGGGGACGACGTCACCGCGGTACAGGAGGCAGCAGGCCATGTACTTGCCGTGGCGGGGGTCGCACTTGACCATCTGGTTGGCAGGGTCAAAGCAGGCCGAGGTGATCTCAGCAACCGACATGTTCTCGTGCGAGGCCTTCTCGACCGAGACGACGGGGGCGTAGGTGGAGAGCGGGAAGTGGATGCGGGGGTAGGGCACGAGGTTGGTCTGGAACTCGTTCAAGTCGACGTTGAGGGCGCCCTGGAAGCGGAGCGAGGCGGTGATGGACGAGACGACCTGCGAGATGAGGCGGTTGAGGTTGGTGTACGAGGGGCGCTCAATGCCGAGGTTGCGGCGGCAAATGTCGTAGATGGCCTCGTTGTCGACCATGAACGAGCAGTCAGAGTGCTCGAGGGTGGTGTGGGTGGTCAGAATCGAGTTGTAGGGCTCAACGACGGCGGTCGAGACCTGGGGAGCGGGGTAGACCGAGAACTCGAGCTTGGACTTCTTGCCATAGTCGTGCGACAGGCGCTCCATGAGGAGCGAGGTGAAGCCAGAGCCCGTGCCACCGCCGAACGAGTGGAAGACGAGGAAGCCCTGGAGACCGGTGCAGTTGTCCGCAAGACGGCGGATCTTGTCGAGGACAGAGTCGATAATCTCCTTGCCGACAGTGTAGTGGCCGCGGGCGTAGTTGTTGGCGGCGTCCTCCTTGCCAGAGATGAGCTGCTCGGGGTGGAAGAGGGTCTTGAACGAGCCGTTGCGGACAACGTCAATGACGGAGGGCTCGAGATCGACATAGATGGCGCGCGGGACGTGCTTGCCAGACTCGGTCTCCGAGAAGAAGGTCGAGAACGAGTCGTCGGTCGCGTTGGGGCGCGACTCGGTGACGCGGCCGTCGGGGTTGATGCCGTGCTCGAGGCAGTAGAGCTCCCAGCAGGCGTTACCGATCTGGACACCAGCCTGACCGACGTGGACGGAGATGACTTCGCGCTGCGATTCAAAAAAAAAACAAGCAAGGAAATGAAATCAGCGAAAAAACCAACAAAAAAAAATGGCGCCAAAAAAAAAAGGAAAAAAAAAAACGAGCGCGAAAAAACCGTTTCTTCATCAACGAGGACGTGGCGGGAAGCCAATGTCAACGGAAGAGAGGAGAGTGAAGTGTGTGTGTGTGTGCGCGCGCGTGTGTGTGTGAAGGAACGCGAGTGGACGAGCAGAGCAAAGGAAAAGAGCGAAGGAAAAGACAGAAGAAAGAAAAAAAAATGCTGATCTCATTCTCAAACTGTTTGGCCGTTTTTGCGCTCCATTCCGTCAGCCAATGAGCAAAGCACTGGGCCGCGGTCCGCCCCCCCCCCATTCGCCACAATGGCAGCAAAAGCAAGCGCAGCTGTTGAAGACAAGGGAGGAGAGCTGGGGGGGAAAAGGCAGAGACAGTGCAGAGACAGTCAAAGAAGAAAAAAAAAAAAAAAAAAAAAAAGAGCACGCGCCCCACGACTTTGATTTCCTTCCTGGCACTCAAAGGCTCAATGCAACGCAGCAGAGAACACACGTTCGAGAGACGAGTGTGAGATGGAATGGGTTACCATTGTTGAGTTGTTGTTGTTGTTGTTGGAGGAAGGGTTTGAAAAACAAAAAAATCCGGCCGAGTGTTCTTGTGAAGAGAACGAGACGGAGTTTGAGTTTTTAAAAAAGAGTGATGGAGGAAAAAATGGCGCCAAAACCAGAAGAGAAAAAAAAAAAAGCAAAACCACGAAACGAAGAAGTTGTTGCACATCGATATCGAGAGGAAAGAAGGAAGGAAGGAAGGAAGGAAGGAAGGAATACAAAGGGCACAACGAATATTTGGGGGAGAAGAAGCAAAGACGCAAAACGGGGCAACCGTGTCTTGCCTTTCGAAATCAAAAGTGAAATTGAACTTGTTCACGACCTTACCCGCAACGAAACCTAGGAAAGGATGAATGCGCAGGTATCGTGTTACTGATGATTATAGTAAAGAATGAGAGGAAGACGGATGAGGCATGAGCCCAGTTCGCAACAGAACGAAAACCAAAAATTTGTAACATCCGGGTTTTTGATAACAATGAAGGCACAACCACCACCACCATCGCGCATACAGTTACAAGTGCATCCATGACACACAGATCAATGAAAAGAAAGAAAAAGAATCAGCAGAAATATCAACAAAACAATCAAACAATCAAACAATCCAACCAAGCTTGAAGCCGAGACGCTGAACGCCCGCATTCCATCACTGCGAGTTACTGCAGTGAGAGTAGCAGGTGACACAGACGCGGACAGCAGCTTGGAAGCCAAACTGCGGCAAGTGAACCGTATTGCTGGAGCACTGCCCGCAAAACAGACTACCGCAGTTACGGCAGTGGTGGCGCCGCCGGAACATTGTGAATGGCTCTTGGCACAGCGTGCAGGATGTGGAAGACTCGTTGGACACCCACACTGGAGGAGCCTGCACGTGGTCGAGACGCTGCGAAAGCAGACTCGCCGATCGAATGCGCCCTTCGTACTGCTGCTCTGGCTCGGGGGACGGTGGCGCTGCAGCTGTGGCCGAGCTTGCCAGGGTGGACGTGGCTGCAGCAAGTGCGGAAGGCTTGCTGGGCGCCTGCGGCACAGTCGGTGCGACCTCGTGCAACTTGAACACGGTTTTCAGAATCGCTCGAAAGTGCACGGCGTTGGCGTCGCTTTGCAACTTGTCGGCCACACCGGCAATTTGTGTAAACAGCTCTTGGGCGACACCGGGCAACGACGCGCTCTCGGCACTCTCTGCTGCTCCAGAATCATCAAGAGCATCGTCGACAACATCCTGGCACAAGAGCTTGCAAGCAGCCCAGAGCACGGGCATGGGCGTCGCGAGCACCCGCTGAGACAGAGCTTCCAGGTCGGTAAAGTATGTGCGAAACAGGAATGGCATCTGGGCGGGGGCAGTAAAGTCAAAAAGCGAACTGCTGGGGTTGTCCTGCGGGAGTTTGGCGGGAGTTGGGGCGGCGCCAATCGCAAGCTGCTGACTGCTCGCGGAGGAGCCTCCTCGACCGCGACCATAGGCTGCAACGTGCACAAGGCCGCCGTTGCGACCCAGAATGCCGTGCACCACGGCCAGGCGCGGAATGGCAAACATGAGCGCCGAGTCGTAATCGTCAATCGACTCTTGCGTGATCACACCGTTCTCCTAGGCCCCCAGCAGGGCATCGGAGAACAGGGCGCACATGAGTTGCTGCTCTTCAATCTCGACGGCC